TTGACTCTACTATATAAAAAAAACGATGACTCTGATATAGATAATTACAGACATTTAACTATAATGAATACTGATTATAAGATACTAGCAAAAATAATAATGAATAGATTAACAGATATATTAGATAAAATAATAGATAAGGAGCAAACATGTGCTATAAAAGGTGCCTTATGGGACAACTTATCAATTTGAGGAGAAATCATAAATAAGCCAAAGAAGAAAAAGGTTTTTTTATTATTGGACTTGATAAAAAAAAAGCCTTCGACTATTTATCCAGGGATTACTTATGGTCGGTGATGAAGGCCTACGGATTTCCTGAAGCCTTCATAAACATATAGGTGTCTGTATTTTAAATCTTGTGTCTGTGTAAATGTAAACGGTGTGTTAACAAATGCATTCAATGTTGAGAGAGGGGTTAAGCAGGGGTGCCCTCTAAGCGCAGCTCTGTACGTGCTAGCCATAAGTCCATTCATTAAAATAATAAACAATGACAGGTTCATATCAGGAACACCAGTTGGCCATGCGCCCACAATAACTGCCATCGCCTGCAGACGATGTCACTGTTATAATAAAAAACCAACAGGAAATGGATGTTCTAACAAACCACCTAAACCTATATGAATTGGCATCAGGAGCTAAATTAAACCACAGCAAAACTGAAGGTGTTTGGATCGGCACCGACAATGCCAAATGTGACATTAACATTCAAGTGAAAAAAAAAAATTAAAATACTTGGAATAACTATTTGTAGTGACAACTGTGCTGAACTCAATTGGGAGAACAAACTAAGTGAAGTCAAAGAAGTTAAACACTGGGAGAATAAAAATACAAATGATAAATCAAGAATAAACATAATACAATTATTCATACTCAGCAAGATCCTTTTTCTAGCAAACATCTTCCCCCCACCAGCCCAAATAATTATGCAATTAAACAAACAGTGTGTCAATTTGGTGTGGGGTACAACAAGGGAGGTTGCTAAACGTCATTTGTTATTTAAGAGTAGGGAATATGGAGGCCTGGGAGCCATAGACCTGGGCATTCAACTAAACATTACCTTTGTAAAAAACATCTCGGCTGCAATCGATAGGAAAGCACCTTGGGTTGAGGATGGAGGAATGGGATGGAAGAAAAGAAGAGGCAGAGCTAGAAATGGACCACAAGTTACTTTATGGTGACTTCACAACTGAAGTTCAACATTTAGGGATTGATTGGATCGGACTACCGAATAGAGTAATTTTTAAAATGATAAACGATTTCAAATATGGAAGTGTTATAGCATACAAAAACCTAACACCTGATGAAGGTAATGAAGTCTTAAAATTAGTAAAAAGTAAACAGTTATCGGAGAGCATGAGAGACGTGAGGTGGCTGATATCAGTCAACAGACTTGCGGTCAGAGCTGTGGTTTCATGGAGCTGCTATGTGAAAACTAGAACATGCCCCATGATTAACTGTGAGGAGGACGAGACTATACAGCACCTCCTCATGGACTGCTACAGAGCTCAGGAGGTGTGGTCGCTCCTACGGGGCATCGGGTTAGACTTCAATGTAGAATATATCTCAATCATGTATTGTATTCTGGATGAGGGGATGGACAATAAACACAGGGACCTTTTTCAGCTGGTAATTTGTATCACATGTATGAAGATCTGGAAAACAAGGTGCAAAATGGTACTAAATCAGACGGTCATAAACAGTGGCACCATCGTGACACAAATACTTACTGAACTAAGGAGAAGAAAAACCCTGGACAAATCCCAGACTCAGCCATGGGGCGTTTTGAGTCTGTGACCGAGCTGAGTCTCATTGGAATATAAACGTGCTCTCTTTATGTTATTTATATATTTATTCATTGTGTTTTATGTGTATTATTAATGTAACTTGTGTATATCATGTACTACCCAAATAATATAAAATAAAGTTTTCTGAAAAGAAAAAAAAAAGAAAGAAAAAGGAAGCTAAACAGCACCTCTTCTGCCCGTTGCGTGCGCTAGCATGTTATGTGGAGCGCACGGCTGCCCTTAGATGCACCGAACAGCTGTTTGTGTGCGTCGGGGGCGGGGTGATCGGGAAAGCTCTGTCTAAGAAACTGGCTGGCTGGCTCTGCGAGTGCATTGCACATGCCTACGGACAGGCGGGGAGAGCCTGCCCCACGGGGATTCGTGCACACTCCACACAGGCTGTAGCTGTGTCAACAGCCTTATTATGGCCCTCAGCACTGTTGTTTGAGCACACTTTCGGCGAGTTAAGCGCAGAAGAGTGTCACAGCCCAGACTTCTCCTCGGTCACAACCGGGTTAAAGGAGAATGTGGGGCAGCAGCTGCTGTCCAAAAAAGCTGGTCAGGGGCAGTAGGGTGGAATGATGTTGTTGGACGACAGTGCGTGTATACATCGGGGCTCCACCCACTGTACCCATAGAGTCCAGTAGAGGGCGGAGTCTGTGAGAGATATAAAGCTGAGTTACGTATTGTAACCCTTGTTATATTAACACAGGCGGAGCCCTCTACTCAGGGCACTGTCTGTCCTATTCCGCTCGCTGAAGAGAGGTTTAGGATGATAGTCAGGAGGCGAGGCCTCCTTTTATACGGTGAGATGCGCACGCATTCAGGTAGGCCCGCCCCAAGGCCGGCTACGTCTATAGAAATCTCAGTAGGTGAATGCTTGTATAGAGGGTAGTAAGCTACCCATAGAGTTCAGTAGAGGGCTCCGCCTGTGTTAATATAACAAGGGTTACAATACGTAACCCGGCGTTATCAACTCGGTAAATCTACCCAGGGTTTCTCTCTCCGGCTGAAAGCGCGTTCACGTGAAAGGGGCGGGGTTAGCAATATTTGACCATTCGCAAACAGGGAGAAGCGTACTGACAGCGCAGCGTCATACTTCATTAATGACAAGTAAACTATAATATTAGACAAATATGAAGAAGTTAAACTTTAAACATCCATGACTTAAACACTTAATCCAGGATGCAAGCCACATAGTTTCACCTGCATGGTGAATACAGAACAGCTGGTTAAAAAAAAAAGTGTTTGAATGCGTACATTAACAGGTTTATGATATCACTGCCCCGTCTAAGACACGAGTGGATCCGACTTTAATTACATTTGCACGGCCAGATACGGCTCGAGAAGCTGACTCAGATAAGGAAATATATTATGATATTATATGATCGATGATATGATTGATAAGTGACTTGATAGCTTTAAACTCCGCACACAGAGCTCTGATTGGTCAGGAGGCGGTGAGCTCTGATCGGTCAGCAGGCCGTGCTTTCACTGTGTTGATCTCTTATCTGGAACCACAGCATAAGTTACCATAGAGATCTACCCCGGTAAAAAGTGAACCAGCGTCGTAGGACAGTAAACTCAGAGTTAACCCTGAAGTTACCTTGCTAACCCTAACCCGGCAGCCGAAGATGACGTCAATGACGCTATCGTGTAGAGCTAAGTCGATGCTTACGTAATGCGGAAGTAGGCGTGGTTAAATCTGGGTTGGAAAAACGATAAACGCTGGAGGCGGGCAGCGTCAGGTAAAAAAAGTTATTTAGCGTTCCCAAATCTGAGCCTCACGCGCCGCCTATGCCCCCTTCTTATATTCCACGTAATTTGTTACACATATGTGTAAAAGATTACGTTTAAAATGAACCTTTATTGATTTTAAATTGTGCTACATTTTTTAATACACACAAACAGTACAAATACACATAGGTGCACACATGCACAAGCATTTTAGAAAGGTGTCAGAGCCAGTCTGTCCGGCGTCAGGGAGCAGTTCAGGGTTTGCTACCTTGCTCAAGGACACCTCAGCAGTGCCGAGGAGGAGCACTGAAACCTCTCCAGTTATCAGTCCCCACTTTTATTTTTGTATTGTCTGATTGGGACTTGAACCGCTAACCCTCCAGTCACGAAGCCAAGTCCCTACAGACTGAACTACTGCTGCCCCGATGGTCTTAGCATGAACATCTTGTCATGAAACTGGGAGGAAAAAGCCCGGGGGAGGCAGCGATCACATCTACTCACCTCCACGTTAGCCAGCTCCAGCAAAACACCTTTATCCCTGGAAATCATCTCTATTGAGAAGGAGAGACTTTTAAAACCTAAAAAAAAAAGACTTCTACAAGGAAATCAAATACATCTTTGTCCAGAGAGGTAAGCCAATAGACTTGATTTACAAGTTAGGGTCAATATTTATTTCCATCTGTGTTGAATGCAACGTATGCAATAGCCTACAGTGGAGGAATGTAACAAAGTACATTTACTCAAGTACTGTACTTAAGTAGAAATGTAAGGTACTTGTACTTCAACTGAGTACTTCCAGATTATGCTATTTTAAACCTTTACTTCTACATTTTTGGGGCAAATTTGGGATTTTTTACTCCACTACATTTATTTTACAGCTTTAGTTACTAGCTACCTTGAAGATGTATGCTATTGATAAACATAGATTTGTATGGAAATTATGTTGCATTTGTATAGGTTAAATGTAAATACAATAATTAAATGAAAACCCTATCTTAACTAGATCCAACATTAAAGTTATGAATATAAGTTTTAAGGAATTTGTAATGCCTGTCTTTTGTACTGTTACTTGACTACAAATTTGATTGAAGGATTTTCCATGTAACAGAGTATTTTTTCACTGTAGTATTGAAGTAAAATATCTGAGTACATCCTCCAACACTGATAGCCTATACAATTTTAATCAAATCCATAACTTACCTGTAGGCATGTGCGTGTGCAGTGTACATCACGCAGTCGCCTAACCAAAAGGCTAATCATTGTGCAAATTCCCAGTTAAATAGTACATTTAAGCTAACTATCAAATGTTGTATGTCTGGCTCTCAGTATAGCCAGTGCCTCTCCGTGCATTGACTTCAATGAATGCATGTTACTGACTGTGCAGTATTAACACCACATTCATACTTAATGCAATCTGGCTAGCTTGTGAATCTTTCTTTGAGGCTGTCTCCACTCAAAAAAAATAGCAGACAGCCTGGAACATATTGAGAAAACAAAACTTTATTGATGGTTATTGATTAGTGGAAGAACCATAGTACATGCACATACAATGACTGGGTAGGAAGCCTTGTTTTGAACCACAACACCTACTGGAAGCAGAGCCTGTATAAAGTAGTTGAGGAGTCAGACATTCAGCATAGTGAGGACAACGAGTGGTCCTGTTTCTGACGGACACAGGGGTGGGGGGGGGGGGGGGGGGTTCGAACCGTCGAGGCTCTGACTGCTGCCTTCTTTATGTGATGCATCTGAGAGTTGATCCTATCTAATGTGTTATAAATACAAAAAAGGAGATATGTAACAACACCACTTATTGGGAATAGTTGTAAACAGAATGTGGCACAGGAAGCGGGCTGGCTTACAGTGCAGCTGTATCAGAGTCCTGATACGTGTAGTGCTTTTCAAATACACTACAGAGTATTCCATTAATTCTATTTACATCATACCGTAGATTAGGCTGTTCACAAATTCTCATATTTATTTAGTGTTATAATATTCAAACAGTTTATTTTCAAAGAGCAAAGTTTGAGTTCTAGTAAATAACAGAAAGGATGTCACATTAAGAATGAGAGAAAAGAGAGACATTACAGAAATGAAAAGAAGTTAAGGAAGGTTACAGCACTGATATGTCTCAGTTTTATGTGAAAAGGACGTGTGCAAAATGGTACAGTTGACAAAAATGTCGATGTGTGAGAATCTAGATTGTGATTACATCATTTGTAAAGAGTTAATACAAATCAGGATATGCGATAGAAAATGAGATAGCTCGCCCTAACAACTGATCTACTCTTCTAAATCTAAAACATTATACCATTGTGTATTTCATATAAGAGAACATCTTCACTGCACAGTTCAATTATAATACATTGTTGGATTATTATACTGTACTTTATCCCTCTTAAAATGTAGTAATGAAAGAAAAAACAGCAACAAAATCAACAAAGAGATAAAATAGACAGTGGCTTTGGCCACTGCTATATTTTTTTTTTAAATCTCTTCTGTAATATAAAAATCATCAATTATACCAATGAATATATTGGAAGTTTATATAAAAAACCATTACATCTACTCAGTACGGAAGATAATTAGTGCCACAAAATAATAAATCTTTAAATACTTTGATTTAAAGTTTGACTTCTCCAGGAATCCAGCAGTAATTCTAATTGGTCATATTAAATTAAGTTTTTAAGTTTTTTAATGAGGAGCTTACTCTTTTGCAGCTCACAGCGTATGGACCAAGCAATTAAATAGTTGAACAGTTTAGTTGCCATGGCAATTTTTTTTCTCCTAATTTATAGCTATGTAAAATCTTCACTGTACGCACACACACACGGCAGATATTTCCATCGGACCCTTTGGCATGAAGTGGTGTAAGACATTAGCACAGGATTCAGTCAGTAAATACCCGGCTGCATAATGTACTGACTCACACCATTCTCTCCCTAAGAGGAAACTAAACTGACCTGGACTACCTATGGAAGCTGAGAGCAGCTGGGACTGCCAATACTTGTTGTTGCATGTTTTATTAAGTGATCACAACTTAATGACCCTCTTTATCAAGATACAAAAGCACAAATGCCCTTTTTACAAAAACATGTTATATTTTTGGAATATAAAACAAAGAATAGTGGTTTATGAAAACACATTGCATTCACCAAAGGGTTTTAAGTCTCTCTTTGACTTAAAGATTGCAAGATGATTTTATTTAAACCAGATTTATTGTCACCCTGTCTAATCAATATAGCCATAGCGGCTGATGGTGTGAGTTGTTGTGGTGATCTTGTCAGTCAATAATTGTGTTTTTGCATGATCAGTATGTCGAGCACACTGACCTAAATCATATCTAATTAGATCAGATGCTAAATCAGCATTAAGCAATAAGTAAAATACTGCTTTTGCAACAAACTGCTTGATTGGATTGCACGGGTATAGAAACCTCTTGGCTCCAAGTTTACTTTCTGCCAGCTGTTGGTCCTAATTTCAAATACTGTCAGACAGATTAAAGGACTGGTGCTGGAAAAAGTCCTAAATCCACAAAATAAGGCCTGTGGTTAACACAGGCAAAATACATTTCTCGTTTTGTTCTACGATTTGAAATACGTCAGTTGTTGAATGTCTGAAGCTTTTACCCGTCTCAAAAAAACGGTGGTTGCTAAAAAAGTCTAACATCATAATGCAGAATCTTTAGCTTAGCGGTGGTGATGCGATGCCTTGGGACCGTGATGTCGTTCCTTTATAACCTAATGTTAGATACCTACTTCTTGACAGTGCAGTTATGCTTCAAAAATAATAAAGTGATAATATGTGTAGATTATGCGGCTAAACATTTAAGAATCATAAACGTGTTTTAGCTACAGAGCTTTTGTCAGCATATTCCAAAATCCAATGGGAAAATGCTATTGCCTTTTTTCGAGGACTACAGAAATGTGTCATCACTGCATCACTCTACTGTAGCCACATTTTAAACCTTTATTTTCTGGTTAATTAACGTATGAAACAAACCAATCTTAAAACAGGGTGTTTTTGGAAGTTCGCTGGATAATATTTCAGATAGAGCAGGGATTGTGTTATTATGAAATACTTAGATGATTTATTTATTCCCTTTTTTAAATGGAATGCAATTTCATATGTTACAAAACAAAAACACATCATATCGCACTCAATACAAAATTGGGCTACAATACATGCAGCTTCCATGACTATGCAGACATAACATTTTGTTTTGGTATTATTATTGTTATCTTGCTTTTTGCAAAATAACCATAAGCATATGATAGTAAAGTTGCAGTCGCAAGTAATAAAGCTTGGTCTCGAGGTAACTTACAAACAGCATGGCTGTTCTCAGCTTCTCTCTCTCCGCCCTCAGAAGTTGTCCCTGGGTTTCAAGGCTTCTTCGCTTCTTCACAAACCAATGGGGGAGAACAATCTAGCTAAACTGAAAGAGGAAGTACCAAAATAAGCTGAGACGATAAAAACAACAATACTTGACTGGCATAGTCACTTTAACACTAACAAAACGTAAGAAAACTCCAAAAAGTGACTCTCTTACAGGGTTGGAGTTCTTTACAAGCCCTAACTATTTGAATCTGATAAATATTGTATTTGTGTCTCATCATTACTCTAGCAGCTCTCTATGGAAAACCTACAGCTGATAATCTAGGTTTAAATCTTTAGAAATTAAAAACCCACAATATCAAAATACACAGCACAAAATATCTGAGGTATAAGATGAAAAATATCAGCTGTCGTTTTCTTTTTCTTTTTTTCGTTCTTAGAAGACGCTGAAATTATGCACAGACTGCATGTATTGCAATACCCAGGCCTCAGTAACGTCTCTCTGATAACTCGTGGTTTCAATCGCTCACACACACTTTCTGTCCTGTTGGAAGGTTGGGTTCAGGTTGGAGGTGTTGCTAATAGGGAGCAAAGCGGCTGTAGCCTCCCCGGTATATACTAGCCTGGAGAGAGGACAGCACGAGCCCCACATCGTCGGCATGGCTCCGAGTTTTCGCGTCTGTCAGTGGGGTGAAGGCGTTCTGAAACACACACAAACACGCACACACATACATACGCACACACACACACACACACACAAAAGAATGCACAGCCACACACAGATATTCATGGAACACACACACCAGGAACCCTCATTAGCCCCTTTGGTCCAGTACTTCTTCAACTGGAGTTTCAACATTACATTACCGTTATTCCAGTGCAAACCCATGGAGATGAAAAGACCAATGACCGGAGCAACCGTCATGCAGCAAGCACAGCAAGACGCTTCATGCCGGGGGAACATGCCCACTGCTACGTGAAAGAAATCCAGTCAACACAACCATAGAAAAGTGCAGTAAAAGATACATCAAAAACTGAATCAAAAGGTGTTTTGAAGTCGATGTGAAGCAGGGTTAGCTAAATGTTTGGGATGGATCATGCTGGCTTCACTGGGTGGAGCTGATGGAGATTCTGAGGCAGCTGCATTTCAAGTATTTTATGAAGTGTGCTTTGTTTCTGCAAAACTGTTGAAAGTGTATGTTTATACCATCTGCCTCTGTGTGTTTCCAGATGAAACTGCATTTATGAATCTGATCACCATGCTTGTTATCAAGCTCTTCAAAGTAGGAGTTAAGTTTGGTTCTAACTGACCAAACATTCTCAGGAATACATGTTCTCTCCTGCTTTTTGACAGTAAAACAGTCATATTTACAGAGGTGTCCTTACCCTTACATTCCTTATCAAGGTAATAAATGAATCACATGTCGGCTGTATCAAAATGGCCTTTAGAGTGTGTTTAATACATTGAGTGATTTGTATTACTTGTTATACTTATTTATGGCATATATAAAGTGCACTGCTGCCTTACCAGTTAAAAACAACATTGCATTTGGTCTTTGCATAACATAATTATATTCTTATTAAGGTAGATCTAGTACAGTATCAAGTAGTGTTATAAATTAAAATCAATGTTTTGATAGCATAATGTACCTTAAACATACCGTCAGTTTAAATGCTGTTTTATACTGAAAAACCAGAAGTTCTTGTGCACAACCAGTTGTTAAGCTTTATTCTGAAAATCCGTCATCTCCGGTTAGCATTTAGCATGAGGCTAATATACCATTTCCTATAGAGGTGAATTTAGCAGCGAGATGATATGATGTTGCACACCGAAACCTACTGATTTCAACACTACAACTATAGAAGTCGAGATATTATTATTGTTGAATATTAAATGAAGGTACAGTTTATTTGAGTACGTTATTGTTTACAGATGTGGGAAGCATGTCACAACATTCGGAACGACCGGAAACCAAACTGCTGTGAAGTATTTCCTGTATTTTTTGGAGTATTGATTACAGTGTTTAGAATGTGTTAAATGAAAAGTCATGAAAGAGTTAAGGAGGAGAAAAGGCGTGTTTAGACATATATTGAATGTACAATGTCTGTATCCTCTGATATGCGAAACAACGGACATTAAAACGTTGGAGAGGAGCCAGCAGAGGATATATAAACAGCGAGACCTGAGGGGTTCGGCCTCTTTTTCTCTGCTAAGGAGAGCCAGAGACAGCTGCTTTTCTGTCGAACAATATCCTGTTTGTGAACATAACCGCAACTTTATTTTTAATTAAAGTACCAATTTTGAAACTTCACCAGAGATTCCATTTAGTCTCCTTTTAAGCTTCTCTCCTGGACGTGATAATAACCAACACAGATTAACAATTGGGACCAGCTGACGTGATTCTTGTTGGACCGGAGAGACTACACAGCCGGCTGTTGCCCGGAGCCGCTGGCAATCCCGTTCGACACACAGAGAGCTCAAACAACTCGGTAAGAAGAAGCCTGTTATGTCAAATTTTTCAAGTAGTTTATGCAGGACAATCTTAGGACTGTGTGTTGGACGGCTGCTTCCGGTTACTGAAAATAGCTGGGCAATTAATGTTAAAACAACCAAATGTATAACAATAACAATCATATAACATGTGGCGTTGCATTTTCACAAGCAGGGTGAGTTCAAATTACTTATTTTTCTTATATTTAACCCTGCATGCTATTCGTTTGTCTGTTATTACATGTCGGCAGAAGGCTAATCGCTCCAATAAGTATTTCTTGTTACGTTTTAATTTAACGTGAATGGTTTTAGGCCATTAAACAGTGGGGACTGTTTGAGACAAGAACAAAGTTGAGTGAGTGTTTTAATTACAGTGTGAGGCTTTCTTTTTCAAAAAGTCCTTTTCTGGGAAAAGGCCTGAAAAGTTTGAAGCTTTCAGTGGTTGTTTTTTCTGTTTTCAAACAGACATTGCGTCTGGATTATGACGAGAAGTGCGACATTCGTGCGTTAGATAGACGATATTCTGCTGATTGTGTTTGATTAGCGTCTTACTTTGTCCCATGATAGCGTGTTTAAACAGAAGAGATAACCATACTGGCTCTTAAAGTCAAAACATTACGTACATGGGTTGAGGGCTATGACGTAAGGGTATGAGGCCCATTTATAATTGTAAATTACATAGAAATGTTATTTTAAACTGCAGTGTTGTTTTGTGTTGAATTTTCTAGAACTAAAAGATCACCCTCATTATTTCAACTCCGCTGTGAGAGCCACGAGGTGTTTTCAAATCCCTTTGTTCTTCAGGTCAAAGGTTGGAAAATCAGTTGCCATCTTGTCTTGCCCTCATGTTTACAATGAGCAATGGCAGTCGCCATTTCGTGAAATGCTCATTTGAAAGTACTCAGTCCTACTCACATGAGGCTAGGCACTCCATCTTGAGAAGGACAAATCATATTTCTTTGCAGAGTTGGAACTATAAAATAGACAGGTTATCTTACCGTGGGAAGTTTGGTATTTGTGGGGATCTGATTTTGGAAGTTTATTTTCTGCTTGGAAGTGTGAATTGACGTTTTTTTTTTAAATAGTCCAGTTTGCAAATGTGTTTTGGCGGTTATGTGCTGTGTTGTTTTACCATAGTGTAATCCCTAGTGTAATTCTCTTTCCATTTTTAAGAAGAAAAATAAGCTTTTCTTGTTAAATAGAGGTTAGTTTTGCAACAGTAATCCCTAGTGGGTTAAGCTGGAAATTACAATAGCGCACTCTGCTGGTAGTACATAATTATTGCATAGAGGAAACACTCAATAACATTTTGAAGTTTAATTTTAAGTATTATAAATAAACACATGCTTCATCGCCGAGATAGAATTGTAAGTGGTTTCTAATTATAAGATAAGAAACTTTACATAATACTCTTTCAAATAAGCAAACAAATGTGTTGAAGCTAACACAAGTTAAGACATTTACACAATTTCATACACTTCGGTATGCACTGTACACAGTAGATTTAGATTTTCACCAGATTTCTAATTTTCATATTTCAAAGTCAAAACCATATACTGTACAATTTTTATTTTAGCATTTCAGATTTTAAAATGTGCATAACCTTTAATTAACTTGATTAATATTTTACAAAAAAAACTTAAATAAAAAAAAAAATCTATAAATAAAAAAAACACAAAAAAAAACAGATTTAACAATTCTGATGACATAGGATATTATTTATCAGGAACGAAGGTGCTAGTCAGAGGATTGGTGCTTCATCTTTGATAACTTAATAATTCCATTCACCTATTTAAGAAACATGTCACCAAAAGACACCGTAGCTTGTAGGAACAAGACAAGGAGAAGGGAGGGGAAACTTCCAGAGAAGGCAGGGCAGACACCTCCAACAATTCAAGCTCAGGAAGAACCAGAGAATGCAGAGCAGACACCTCAAACAGTTAAATCTCAGATAGTGCCAGAGAATCAGATGCAGAACCAACAACCAGGAGGTTTCCAAGGAGGCACAGGCAGAAGACGTTTACGGTTTGAGGGATGTTACCATTGCAACCAAATGGACCATTGGACCAGAGATTGCCCGCAACTACTAAGGCAACACCCACCACATGCACCAAACAACGGCCCTCCATGTAGTTACCCTGGGGGAGGTTTCCATGATTACGACAGAAGCAGGGGGTCTCAGGGATGTCAAAGACGAACAGCATTGCCAAACATGAACCAAATACCACTGACAGCCTGGTATCAACTACAACAATGAGGAAGCTCAGAGGGCCAGACCACCAGGTGATACATCTTCAGCACAAGGGTATTTTGAAAACCAGCTACATTGAGCCATATCTGTCACCACAGAAGGGAGAGGTTGAATGTTATTTAAAAGATAGTGAGTAGCATATTGCATTTACACATAAAGCATCCACAGATTAGTAGAAGATTAAAACATAGTAGAACATTTAGCAGACTATTTTTGTAATTATGAGAAGGATAGAGATTACGAGTGAAGTTGTTCCCCCACACAGAAAACTATTGTGTCAACCCAGCTAGTGAGGTCAAGACGATGGGTTTTCACCCAAAAATATGAAGACGGAAACCTAGTACCAAGACGCCCAAGACGGAGAATCCATACCAAATCCTCCTGTTTACACCGACTGCAGTTCAAGGGGCGGCGATACACCTGACGTGGAGCTGTTGAGACCTAAAAACAGAAACTCGATTCTGCTGTGGTGAGGTCTGGCTACAAAGGGAGGTGTCCGATAGGGTCGCTTGTCTCAAACCAGTGAAGAAGTCAACAAGAACCCAGCAGAACTAGAGAGTGACTGTTAGCGGGAGGACAGTGACAGAGCGACAGAGACTGGCACAACATTTTCCAGCCAGTACATAGATAGACCCCGTCAGAAGACCGGGGCTGTGTTAAAGGGGAACTTCATTTATTGTTAGTGGAAGTGTAGTTTTTTAGTCAAACAATTATGTGATTTATGGAGTCAGATTACATTTTTTCATAAACACATTTTATAATCGGTCTGAAGTATCTGTTTTAAGGCAATGAGCTGCAGATTAAATAACATAACACTGATTGAGAGCTTGGATGAAGAAGTTGTAGGGTTTTTACAACTGTTTCAAGAATCAGTTTTTTATTTATTTATTCTTGAGTCATTTTACTGATTTATAATGTAGTGCGTAAGGCACTATCTCATTTTGAGTGAGGGCCACCAG